GGGCCGTGCCGCAGGCCGCCACGACGCGCAGCGGCCACGACAGCGTGGCGGCGGACACCAGCCAGAAGACCCAGGCGCGCGCGTACCAGGGCGGGCTGCGCGGGTCGGCGAAGACCATGAGCGAGTCGCGGAAGTCCACGTCCTTCAGGTGCATGCCCTCGCGGGCCTCCAGGTAGTCGTCCAGGCCCTCGTTGGCGCTGAAGAAGCGCGCCCGCTGCGTGAGGTACGAGGCCTCGGCCTCGGCGCTGCCGAAGCTGAAGCACTTGGTGAAGCGCAGGCGCGTGGCCGCGTGCTCCGCCAGGCCCACCAGCTCCTTGGACACGTCGCGGACGCCGTGGGCAGAGTAGTCGAACTCGCCGCGGGCCGTGCGGCTGTCAGCCCTCTCGTGGTACACCTGCGTGGTGGTGTAGGCGTCGCCGTTGCGGTAGCGGGTGACCTGGCGCGTGCGGCGCACGTAGTGGTAGCTGGTGGCCTTCCACCACACGCAGGGCGGCGCCTGCTGCAGCCGGCGGATCAGCGCCAGCACCGTGCCCGCGTCGGTGCGCGGCGCCCGGCAGGAGCGTGCGTGGCAGTGCCAGCACTCGGCCAGGTACAGGAGGTAGAGGAGCGAGACGAAGGCCAGCGGGATGTACAGGTAGCCGTCGGAGCAGGGGCTGGCCGGGTAGGTGGGTGGCGGGCCCCCGGCCCCGCGCGCCAGGGCGGCCTCGGGGCCCAGGACCAGCCGCGGCACCGTGGCCAGGCGGCACCAGGCCACCACGGCCCCGCAGGCGTGGATGAGCAGCGTGAGCAGCAGGCACTTCCAGTGCGACTCGCGGCACAGCGAGCTTCCCAGGGACTGTTTCAGGGGTCGCTGCTGCGGGGTGGGCAAAGAGAGGGAGGCTGGTCAGGGCGGAGCTGCTCCCCCAGGCTGCCCCTCCGTGCAGGAGGGCGGCTGTGCTCCCCACTTTGCAGAGAAAAGTCAGGCTCTGAGGGACGGGACGCTGGCCAGCGCCCCCCGACACCGGCAGCACCGCGGAAGCCCGCTCCCCGCCCCGCTCTGCCCGCGCCCGGCCTCCCCAGCACTGGCCACCCCGGCCGAGGGCACGGACAGACGGCAAAACAGACCCCTCTGTGCAGGGAGAGGGAAGGAGCCCGAGCGCCGCTGGGAGAGGGAGCTCCGGTCCCGCTTGGCCCTGGCCCGGCCACATCCTGCCCTCTCCGAGCCCCGCCTGGCCCTGGCAGGCTGGGAGGCCAGGCGGAGAGGGCAGCTAGAGGGCTTCGGCGCCCAGCACCAAGACCAGGCGTTGCTCCACTGCTGTCACTATGGCATGGGCAGCCCCCCCCCCCCGTCCTCTCTGGACCTCAGTTTCCTCATCTGTAAACTGGGCTTATGAGGATTCAGCAGGTCCTGTGTGAAATCTCAGCACAGGGTCAGTGCGCAGATACATCTGCTAGCCCGACGCCCTCTGGTCTCCGCTTCCACTGGGGACCCAGCGGACGGGGAGAGGCTTTTAAGCAAGAGAGAGGAAGAGCTGGGAACGGAGGAGGTGCGAGCCTAGGGGGAGCAGATGGAGCGCGTCCTCCACTCCCCATCTGTGTTGAGCGAGGGGCGGGGCGCAGCTGCGGGCAGCAGGGGCAACTCCCTGGCCCAGAGGGCTTGGCTCCCCCTCCCTGGCAGGCGGCAGCCTGGCTCCCACCTCACTCCCAGGTGCCTGTGGAGAGAGAGGGTGGGGAGAGGAGGGGCCAAGTGGGGTGGGAAGAGAGGTGGCCTGGTGGAAACACCATAGGTGGGGTTCAGAGGCCACCTCTCCCACCCCAACCCCACCAGGTCTTGAGAGACCAAGAGGTGAGCCCCCATGCCAGCCTGCCTTGCCCTCCAGTCCCCACATAGGTGCACACCACCACGCTGACCAGCCTGGCCAGTCAGCTGGACACCCCCCCCATCCACGTCTCCCATGTTCCTCTTGAGACCCACCCACCATGACGTCCGTCCTGCCTTTTCATCAGACACACCCGGCCATCATCTGTGCCCAGGGCACAAACCCCCAACAGACACAGCACCCAGCGGTTGCCAGTGCACACCACACACTCCACAGCCCCACCCGCCACAGGGCACACACCTGCACTAAGCTCCACTTCCACTGAAGCCCAGGGGCACACCAGACCCTCCCCCATCCCAGCACCTCCCTGCCCCCACCCCCTGCAACCTGACACCCAGGCCCTACAGACTACCTGGAGAGGCCCACCAGTGCACTCCCATTACCACTTCACCCAGGACAAAGCCTCCCCACCTGGCCACCACCAGTCAGATGTCCCACTCAAGGTGGGGGCACACACATGCATCCTGCATTCTCCCCCCCACACACAAGACCCCCTCACCTCCTGTCACCCCACACGCCGGCCATCCTCATCCTGGCTAGGGACGAGGAGGAGCCCCCACCCCCACCCCGGGGATCCCAGCTGTCCACCGCAGGTCTCCCAGGAGGGACGAGGAGGAGCCCCCACCCCCACCCCGGGGATCCCAGCTAGCAGGACGGACCCTGCTTCCCCTCCTCTGCCCCCTCCTCCCTCCGCTCCCCCACCCAAGTCCGGGGTGCTGCTGCATTGCAGGCGCCGCCTGGCCTCCTCGGGAGCCGCTGGGCCGGGCTGGGGGCC